ACCTTTCAGATCTTTACAATTTTAAGCTCTGAGCGGTATTAAACTCTTATTGACAGATGTGTCATTTACCACCAGGCGCACGGCTTGTTCGTCTCATTGCCTACTTGATATCATAAGAAAGGAACTTGAATTTATTGTGACAGAGAAGAAGTCGGATCATTTTGCAACAAAGAACGACGTACTTAGGCTCTTTTAAATCTGGGTTGTTGTACTTATTTTGTGAATTTGCCGTGTGATTAACACTAACACATGGAAGCAACAAGACAATCATGTTGATTCCGTCAATAAGTGTGGTGCCGTATCTTGAGCCATGTGGTTGTTATCGTGGTTACCAACTTGAAAATTATTTTGAATTGTACTACGCTTAAACACGTAGACGATGCAATCGTAATTATCGACGCAAATGGTTCGCTTATTTATGCTCACACGTGTGTACGCTCACTATCCAATTATTTCTTTTGTTCACTGGCTTCTAAGTCAAGAACTTGTCAGCAATCAACATCAGTGATCACACATGTTAAATGGCACTTGAGCTTCAAACTTCGAGCGTCACCGTATAGGTACTTCAGTCGGTTACCTATCTACCTATATATATATGTAAAAAGTCTACTGAGTTCGAAATGACTTTTTACAGAAATAACGTTTGCTCGAATTTTCATATCTCCGAAAGTAATTTTGAGAGGAAAATGTTTTTTCTTTTAAGCCTAACTTAACCGAACCTCCAACATATACAGAAAGAACAACGGTTTCGTTATAATTCGGTTCTCGGTGTAATGAAAATTCGAACAAACGTTATTTCGGAAAAAAAATCGAGTTTGTGAAAAGTTACCACTTCAGTCATCATCACCATTAAAATATCATCTTTCGCTCTAAATTCGTCCAGTCATCTCTTTAATCATGTAATAAAATTTTTAATTAATACGTCTTCGCCAGTTTCTTTTTATGTGATATCAAGTGACGGAAACAAACAAGTCGTGCGCCTGGTAGTAAGCGACACCTGTCCATAACAGTTGCAGTGCCACTCAGAGCTTTATCCAAATCGCAAAGATCCAAAGGGCACGTCACTATCACTGCGCCCGTCAATCTGAGTTATGAATTGACTAAATCCATGTAACTCTAATTTCACCAGCGCCCTTACCCTTCAAAACCGGAACGCAATAATGTTCACATTACTGCTTGGCGGCAGAAACAGGTAAGGTGGCAGTACTTCCCTGGAAGAACTCTTTAACAAGGAGCTCTATTGCTACAAAAAAATCTGCTTGATAAAGGTTCATTAGGTTTTTTGCTGTCATCAAATACTGCCTTGTCGATTTCGAAGAGCCAATTGACTGTGCCAATTCTTAGCCAGTGCCAGAAAGGCTAATGAACCTTTATTTTCTCAACAACGTCAGAGTTACGATAGTTATTAAGCTGGCGATAAAAAATTGATGGAGGCAGCAAGTATTTGCCTACTTTTTCGTTATATTCCCACGAACTTCCACGGAAATGACTCAGCTCTAATAAAAATTGTTGTATTGCAATATTGTGCTTATATTTGTGATTCATATAAACGCAATACGTGTAGATACATATACTTTGAGTCTTATTTGTTTTGCATGAAATATTATTAAATTGCGTTTAATTTCTTCTTCTACGAATAGTGCCACTTCATATGGGTCACAATCGCGAAAATTTAGATTTTCGCACTAGGCACTCAATATGGTTTTTGTTAAAGCAACTCAATCCGAATTACGTCCGTTAAATAAAAGACGTTTTCTACGAAAATGTTTATTTTTATTTTACATATAATTTACACATACCTAAAAGGTGTTTAAACTCTATATACACATGTAAAAAATAAGAATACATTGATAAAAAAAATCACAATACATTTGAGATTTCATTTCATTTACGTTAATATAAAATACAAAGTAAATAATAAAGAACAGAGAGAAAAAGGTCATTCATAGATTAATGATTTTTAGGATACATTAAATACAATGTTGTAAATAGCATAGCTACGAGGGTAGTATACCTGAACAAAATTAATTTTTAATAGGGTGGCCATGTTTTTCCATTTACAAAGGCCAACATTTTTCGTATCTCCTAGGATTTTTCGATATTGAAGGATTTATAATTTCTTGTAACTTTGAGGTACAATTAATATTAACCATAATATTGGAAGTTGTTAAGCTCTAGATAGTTATATATCAAAGTCCCACGTTGACACTGAGCCAGTTAGTATATTACAATAATAGTACACCGTAAATTGGGAATGTCGTGACGTCATTACGTAGACGGCTTTTGTTTCTACAGGCATCTACGAATACTATTAAAAGCATTGGCAAAAAATGATACCTGTTACCGTACCAAACGTATAAACGGATACCTGCACTGAAATTACAAATTGAGTCCGTATATTCCCATGTCTATATATATTTCACACTCTACAGTTTAAGATTTTCATTCGCGTTCCCCTCTCCTGTAAAAATTGTAATTTTCAGATTATATAGTGTACGTAGATGCCGCCGCTTTATTCCGTGTACAGATGGACTGAATCAAATTACATAATTGAACAAGTAAATATCTAATGCAAAGGTGTTTATGAGTATATATTTTATTTACATGTAGAAATGTAGCAGAGACGTAAGTTTTCCAGGAATTTCAAGGCTAAGTATATATCTACTTACATTGCTATTCTTATACACACATATACTGTACAACTGCTTTTTTATTATCTCTCGGTAATCTTCGGCTGTCGTCGGATTTCTATCAGCTGCCCTTTGCACTTGGTTTGGTGCCGACTGAACGCATTCCATTGACATGGAAGTGTATAGAGCAGCTACTATTTTTTATTTTGTTTATGTTTTTGTTAACGTGATTGGTTCAGTGTTGATCCGTCCATGGACAGTAACAGCGTTTATCGTAAAATATTAGAATGATATTATATGACAATACGGGGTACCTCGTTTCGCTGTATGGATCTCGTAAAACTAACTACAGGATTTACACTGCGATTTCCAAGGGCTTTCCCTGTGATTGCCGCCTACTGCTTTTTTTATAGAGAAGTATAAACAAAATTTAATGATTTATATACATTAAACATTTCACATTTAATCAATATATATAATAATGTTATTATAGAAAGGAAATTAGTTTTACAGGTCTATATAGTTCACATGGAAATCAAAATATATAACAATAAGTGACGTAATATTACGTAAACACGTTTTGCTGAAGACTCTCGAATCCAGCCGAATCAAAGAAATTTTTCTTAGTTCTATCTTTGTATTTATAAATATAACAAACTATTTATAAATACAAAGATATATATAACAACGAAAATTGACGAGAGATATTAAGAAAGTAGTGGTACGGTATAATACATGATTGCATTCACAGCGTTCAAATTTCAAATATTTTGTTATGTTAACATAATCCAACACGTTTATAGGCAAAGAAGGCGTGTAGTGTTAACTATGTTGCGAGTGCTAATGTACTTTTCAAGCTATTTATTAAATAGAAACAACAATAACCATACACACAAGGCTCAATATCTAAAAACTACACGTCCATAAAGCTATTTCCCCGATCAGAATGGCATAACTACATTCAATATTGATTACACTAACACTAAGTACCATTACGCCAAATGCACAATATACAGAAATTTGTAGTATAATCTATTAGATATAAATACATGACAAATATATAAAAAGGTCTTGTCAATTCTCTACAATAAGCGTCACCAGTTGGATTATAATCTATCCTTACCATCCCTCAAATCAAAAATAGGGACCTAGAAGTGTGATTATGGATTTTTTAATTTTGATATTTCAATGGAAATGGTCCCAAAAACCTACAGTGAGAAATGCTAGGCCTCTGATATAATTTTGTAAAAGTGCAAACACATTTTGCTTGATTTTATTTTGGTAATATTTGGCATCGCCGAGTTAACAGTTGGCCTTTTAACTTTTCATAATAAACTCGTCGTTTCGAAGATATTTCTAGGTGAAGGACGGTACAATTACTGTGGGTCCTTCGTATATTCCCCTTGTCTAGCCTTATTTACGACCTATAGAGCCGTCCCTGCCTATTTCAATCAGTCTAATACACCCAGAAGATTCCCTCAAGTTGCTATTTTTGAGCATGAAGTATTTAAAACAGATAAGGGCAAACGTTTTTTATAATTAACTAACTCCAGAATAATTAATCAGTTTTTTTATAATCTAAATATTGAAAAGGTTTGATTTAGTCTATTTGAAGGTACCACTATCTACTTATTCTAAAGAAATGGCATTTTATTATTTAGAAAATAATTTCATATTTTTAAATAACATTTGGTCAGGAATATCAAGACTCTCCAATTTAATCGGAAACACTAAAATTAATAAGCGTATTTTTCATATGGGTTAAAGTTACACTAATATTAAGCTAGTACATTGATTAATTTACATAAAGGTATATACTATTAATGTATTACACATAAGTAGGTAATCAATTGTCTACAATTATAATATAGGTAATTGTTGATGAGGGGTGCACAAACGTTTACGGAGTATATAGGTACTAGGTAATTTCTTAATAGTGGGTACATATATTAACACATAATAATTATATTGGCCGATTTTATAGTTTCGCTTGAGCCTCTCGCAGATGGGAAACAAGCGGGTGCAATTGTAGAGTTATTGAGCACCTGTCGTGCTAATACTCTATTAGGTGTAATATTCCATGCAATTTAGACACTGCGCGGATCGTAGGATACTCTTAGAGAAGGAGAGCGATACTTTCTGGAGTCATCTATAGGCATTGGAGTAGGTATCAACCGATAATTACTATTAACAACCCCTATGGAACCCGCGCACTACCAAAGAAAAATCTAAAATTGTTGGTCGCTGCTGTCTGAAACCGTTTCTCAATAGCATATTTTAGCAAGCGGTGGCCTTGTTCAAACCATGAAACACATAGAGAACGGGTTCGGGTCGGGTGCGTGTCGGGTCGGGAGTACGGCGGGTGTAGTTCCGTGTATTTAAATGAACGACAACACACCACGCTCGAGCGCGAGACGTTCGCAAATCGGGTCCCGCACCCGTCCGTATAAATACATAGTATTACACCCGCCATGCACGCACGACCCGACACGCATCCGAACCGCACCCACTGTCAGTGTGTTTCACGCTTTGATGTAGAGTTGTATTTATTTCAGCAGTCGGCTGTTCGTGTAGTTATATACCATAACCTATGTTAATGAAAAAAACATAGCGTAGAGCCCCTGTCAAAACTGTAGATGGAAATGTACCAACAGTTCGCGGGGTTTTTGTCGGGGCACATAATGGCTGGTTTAAATACTCATTAAACGACTCCACTGTTATAAAGCATTTAGATGTTACCTAATATAACATTATGACTTTATAATACATAGGTTATTTTAACTTTTTGTGTCGTATCAGATGGTTATTATACCTATTTGATATTTGAAACCAGCAGCGCCGCCATCACCTCCTCGGATACAACAAGAAATTAGCATGGAATACATTTAACTACTTAATGAAATGTACATTTTGGAGTTACACTGATTTTCTGCTACTTATTTCTTAGGTTAAATTATATTCATTTGCATAAATTGGAGTACACGCGCAAACATCAACTTGAAAAATCGATGATTAAAATAAATCATCCGGTACATTAAAGAGGCGCACATTAGGCGACACGATGAAGAATATTGGCTCTAGAAAAGTCTACCAGCAGTGTATCAGTTGTTTCGTTCAACACAAAATACATATACGTTCTATTGTTATAAGTACAGCTACATATGTATGTTCATGTTTAATGGTGTGAAAAACCAGAATTACTCCAAAACGCCCTTATAACTAGTGGCGTCACACCGCTCTGCGGCCGCCGTAACGAATTTGGCTCACTATGGTGTCTTCCAAATAGAGAATTATACATCAGGCTTTATACGCGTTGTGCTTAAAGTTCACTTTGTGCGTCACACACAACTCCAGCAACGTCCAAGCGTTCACATCAATTTTATTTGGGACTATTAAGTTTAAAAGGTACATACTTTTGCAGTTTTTTTCTACGTCTATGTAGTTTTAGAAGGTTGCATTTCAATTAGAAAGCTAGTGTCTTTTTAAACGAGCTTGATTTTTCAAAATCAGGTTATATGATGGAAAATACTATCTTTGATATTTGCATAATGGTGTAGGAGAGGTAAGTGTCACTATTTTTTTACTATGTGACTGTGCGCGCAATTTCTCAATGCAATATAAAATTAAAATCAAGTGAGGACCTTTAGGAATCGCTAAATTCAAAGCTATTAGACAAACGCGAACATCAAGTGATTTACGTGAACATTATAAAAAAATACAGCACAAATAAAATGAGGAAACGGATATAAAACATGATCCTCCTGTCTGAATTGGCGGGAAAAAAGATGGGATATTACCTATTTAGCGATCCTTTGCTAGGCGCAATGGTCATGAAATTTTACGCCTCCCCAAAGGTCTTTTTCAGCTTAACAGTCCCAGACCTTAAACGAATTAATTCTTGTTCAACAGCGACTGGAACATGTTGTAACAACTACTCTTAACGCTATTTACAAATGTGGCTAAATATTATTCTTCTGGCGGAGGTGCGACAGCGGCGCTCGCGCTCTCTTCCTCAAGCTTGGCTCGGGCCTCTGCATCTGGAAAAATTCAACGGAAACATAAACCTACCACTACCTCTTAAAACAATATTACTTTAACCTTACATTGACTTTTCGTACCATGACACGCTTAAAGTAAGCTTATTATAATGTTAAAACTATGATGTTTTATTGGCAGCTTTGCGACTATTCATTCACTCAGTTCGTACTATGACGCGACTTTAACATTAAAGTAATATTGTTCTTATGTCAAATTTAGCAATCTTAAAATAGTTACTCGGGCGCAGTGGAAACAATATTATTTTCGAATTTATTGTCTAAATATTGATTTGTAATGATTAAAAGTTAAGTTGAACTTATTTGTTTACATAAATCTCTTCAATATTTTGTTTATTTTTTTATTTAATAGAACATAGGAAATCATTTCTCGTTAAATAAAAATACGCGATGTTTATTTCGTAAAATTATGACAGCGACATCTATATACTCCTTGGCGACACTAACAGTTGACACTAGACTATAATTCCGAATTCACAACGTGACTATCAAGACATTGTTTTATTTATTTTTCTTCATGAAAATGCGGAAAAATAATTGAAAACAACGCAGTTTTAATAGATTTTATTATTATATACTTTTCTTTTTTTAGCAGTCCAAATTCTTCGAATGTAAATAACATTAAGTACTTAAACATTATACTACGATAATACGATTCGGAACATCAAGAAAGAAAGAGATGGCTTCATATAGGTCATACAGCGTTATTTCTTTCCTATTACATTACTTGGTTGACAGGTTTGTCATGGTACCAATATGAGTAATATTAATAATAAGCTTACTTTAAGCTTACATTGAAATAAGATTGTTTTTGAAAAGGTTATGGTAGGCCTGTAATATTTTCCAAATGCACATTAGACGTTTTATCTTTTCAGCGTACATACGTTGTAAGTTCTTCTTCAATGACTAACCGAAAAGAATTGTTCATTAATATTAATCCATACATATGAATATCCATACACGCTTGGCTACTTGGACTCTAATGCTGACATTACTGCTTGGCGGTAGAAATAGGTAAGGCGGCAGCACTTCCCTGGACGAAATCATTCACAGGGAGCTCTACTACTACTAAAACATATGAGCATCGTGAAGCCGCGCCGTTGCGTAAAACCGGCGTCAAGAATAAGAGATCCAATTGCCGACAGCAGGCGTTATATACGAATTACGAACATTATGTATGCAATGTCTACAATACGAGGATGGGACTATTCTCTGGCGATGTTTTTGAAAGCCATTGGAAGCAGACAATTCTGGACCATACGTCCATTGCAGTATATTAGTACAATCTATAGAAGTCTATCCGATGGTGAACGGGGGTTCATAAAGTTTTAATTACCTTTAGCAGCTTGCTCTTTCCATATCTTCTTATTGTCACTGAGGCACGTTACCCACGGCTTTCTAATCTTGAACTTCTGGCTGGTTTCGTGCACTGAAATAAAAAAAACGAATTTTGATAAAAATATCATTATTTCCTTGGTTAGAATTTACTATATAAGAAATGAAATTCCCTTGCAATATGTACGCTGTAGTTGTTTAATACTGGCGATGTAATAATTACATTTAAGTAGTGTAATTCATGTTCAGAAGTGTTTTTTATTAAAAATAGTAATAATATTGATTTTATTGAATATCACGAGTTAATTATTAGACTTGATTTAATCACTGTAAAATTTTCAAATTTTCAGCTGTTTCCGCTTTGCCACAAATTGGTTTTTTGTTCAATTTCGATTTTTTTCAATAAAAGTTGAGTATGACTGAGGTAAATTGATGTTAAAAGCTGTTAATTTATCATTTATCCTTCAAATTTTTTTTTCCTATAAATGTGCCGATGCCGAGCCGAAATATGGTGTGTGTATTTATATATCTAAAAGAACTAAGATGTTAACTTAGAAAACTGTTATGCAGTATATACAATATATTAGGGGTTAAAGTATGAAATTGCCGTTTTATTGCAATAGGTTCTTTGAATTTTCATAGAATCTTCATGGTTTGAGGTTTTCGAATGAAACTTTTTTCAAATGGTTCCTGTGATTTCTTTTTTTTTTAAATTTGAAACGTTTGAATATCGACTTTCAATTGTTTTTGTTATTCAATTTAGACAAGAAAGATGGATACTGCGAAAATTCGAGTGATTTTTGAATACGAGTTCCGACGCGGAACTAACGCGGCAGAAACAGCCCGCAATATCAATGCTGCGTTTGGAGAGGGGTCTACTAATGAACGCACCGTGCGATTTTGGTTTAAACGCTTTCGTGATGGAAATTTCGACTTAAAGAACGAGCCACGAGGAAGACCGCCCACACAGGTGAATAACGATGAATTAAGAGAGATAGTGGAAGCCGATCCTAGTCAAACTACCCAGGAATTAGCGGCATGGTTTAACGTTACCTTACCCACAATATTGACTCACTTGCGTCAAATCAATAAAATAAAAAAATACGAAAAATGGGTGCCTCATGATTTGACTGATCTGCAGAAAGAAACGCGTGTTGAAACTTGTGTTGCCTCGTTGAACCGGTACAGAAATGAAGGAATATTGGATCGAATTGTAACATGTGATGAAAAGTGGATTCTTTATGATAACCGGAAAAGAAAAATGCAATGGCTGACCCCAGGTCAAATGCCACAACAGTGTCCTAAAGCAAAACTTACCAATAAAAAGGTAATGGTAACTGTTTGGTGGTCTCAGCATGGTGTTATTCACTATAGTTTTCTCCGATCTGGTCAAGCAATAACGGCAGATGTCTATTGTGCCGAACTCCGAACCATGTTGACAAAACTAGCAATAAAACAGCCCCGACTCATGAATCGATCTTCACCATTATTGCTCCACGACAACGCGAGACCTCACACAGCACGAGAAACCATTTTGACCCTTCAGGAACTGCAGTTAGAAACCATTCGTCATCCTCCGTATTCACCAGACCTTGCTCCAACGGACTACCATTTTTTTCGTGATTTGGACAATTATCTACGTGACAAGAAGTTTTCTTCCCAGGAGGCAGTACAAAATGCTTTCACACAGTTTGTGCAGTCTAGATCGTCGGAGTTCTATCGCAAAGGCATTAATAACCTTCCCATTAGATGGCAGCAATGTATAGATAATAATGGCAACTATTTTGATTAAATAAATTTGTTAAAAATTTAAAAAATAAACAATTTAGATTTTCAGCACAAATCGGCAATTTCATACTTTAACCCCTATTATATATATATATATATATATATATATATATATCGTAATACCTTCTCTTTCCTCACTAATAGCTTCCTGGTTTGTCGACGCGTTGTTCTTCGTGCTCGTATGCAAGGGTCCGAGGATGTACTCCAGCATGTCAGCACAGACGGCCATACTTGGTTCCACTATGAATTCTATGAAACCGATCTGCGATTCTGCCACAAGGGTGTTGTTTCTGTCGCATAGAGGACTGAAAGGAAGCCCCAAGTCGCGTTCTTTATCTCCTTGCAGGAAGAATTCGTCGAGTAAGCTCATTGTCCATCGGTGGTGTAGATCCCATCTCTGAAATAAGGTAACAAAAGTGTCCTGAGTTTTTCTTAAGATATCGTTCATTATAGTTGGAGGAAATGTACATGCAAAAATTTGGATTACATTTTAAATATTTCATGTATTAGTTGCAAATTTTGTAGATACATTGGCAGCACGTTTATTTCATTTTTAAATAGATTGAATAATTGAACGATGTCCCTTTAAGATACTATGTTATTTAATAGGAATTAATCCTTACAAAAGTGTCCTTTCCGATCTATATCATAAAAACAGGACATTTTTTTTCACGTTTAGTCGGTTCGATTCCCAGATGAGTTAAGCAACTTTTTTATAAATCTTTGAATGCAGTGTTACTTACTTATAGAAATAAAAGAATAACGCCATGAAGCAAAATGTCTTATCTTAACATTTGAAGTACTTTCCCCTCCGTGTTATAAATGTGGTACATCCCTGTATAGACTAATTGTTACATTTATCAGGGTGCGGTTATTTGCACTGATACATTTAGTACTGGGCGGTTTCAATCCGTTTTGTCTGGCCGAACAAGTAGTGCTGCGAAGATTTTGTATACGTGTTTAGTTAGGTGGTGTCTCTTTGGATTCTATTCAGTGTCTTTTGATGTATTGTCAATGATCTTACATACTTACGTATTGTTTTTCTAACGGGGTTGACATTTTCAATAATGACCAAATAAAATTAAGTAAATTGTTGTGTGCTCACCTTAGCAGGGTGTGAAATATCACAACAGTGTAGCACAAGAGACGTAGCCTTCGATTTGTCAATGGAGGGCTCGGCAAGGGACAGCAGAGAACGCATGTTCTTCAGCTGCTGGAAGTGGAAAGACATGTCCGTGGCCAGCACCATGTCGATGACAAGTGTACGGAACTCGCGGAACTCGTCTCTAGAGAGATTCTGTAGGATGTTGCATTCTTCGTCGCGGATCAGCCTGGAATGGTAAAAGGGTAAGTGAACGATGGTGCAGGTGGAGGTAGTCTTGATTGAGCTATTGGTTTTGGTCTCTATATAATATCTGTAGGGTAAAGTTCGTACACGTTTGAACGTTTTCTTGGGGTTTCTTTAAGTAAGTTTTACACCCTGGTAAAGTCGCGCTAGTATTTATTATACATTGACTTAAATATTGGTGTTCATGATGTCAACATAATAAATTATTGTTTATATTCCATAATATACCAAGAGTATAACCATAGATCGATATATGTAGTTTTGGTTGGACACCGCTAGATGACATTGAGTCGTTTTTAACCGACTTCAAAAAAGGAGGAGGTTCTCAATTCGACTGTATGTTTTTTTGTATGTATGTTACGCGATAACTCCGGTATTTGTGAACCGATTTTCATGATTCTTGTTTGTTGGAAAGGGGGTACTACCATAGTGGTCCCATTTCATTTTGAAGAAAATCATCCACCTCTAAGGGTGGCTGTTCACGCATGAAGTTTCATTTTTATAAATAGCGCCTAAATTTTGCTTGAGGAGCAATTATTTTAATGGTTGATTTTGCTATTTCTCCAATTCAAGGCGTTTTTTTCTCAATATACTTTGAATAGTGAGAACCGAATTTTACTATCTCCAGTGTCAAGTCCTGTATAGTGGCGAATTTAAGGATATTTCAATAAAACTTAGCAAATAGACGTAATTCCACGTACTTTTGAGGTCGGTTTTTTTAGTACTCTGTACTGATGTATTTTCTAAAACGCGTTATCAAAGACTTAAAAACCTCCGATACAGAACAGAATTCTCCAAAAGTCATTGTAAATCAACTACGCGTCGAGACTAATTCTATACGATTCAACACGATTGTTCTGCTGTAAGTAATGGAGGAGTTGGGTAGTCTGCAGACTGCTGGTTGCAGCATCCGATCAATGTTGCCCTATTATTTTTATGTCACTAGTTTGTGGAAGTAACGTAAATATTGTATTTTTTTATTATTGAATGTCAAGATGTTTGACCACCATGATATTCCATTATTTTGAAATTACTGCATTGGTTTGGTTATAGTATTATACAATATAATATAACAATATAAAAAGATCGGACACTTAGAAAACCGAACCAACGTCTTCCAGAAAACCGTGTCAGACGCTATACCATCTAAGCCACGGAACGAACTAGTGAATCTTACGAATTTTTCTATATATTTGTGGTTTGTGTTGGTTTTTCTTAGCGTTCGACAAAATAAATATTCTTTTTATGATTGATATCCCTACGCTAGCTGGGAAATGGCGTTATGGTCAATAAACAGCTGAACAGATATTCATAAAACAGCTAAGAACCATCCCAACAAGTTAGCCTCCAAATAAAATATTTTTCTTAATAGCCGCTTCGAGATCAATCCATCCGTTTGGGAGCCGTGTATCTACATATATACACAGACAAATGCTTCATATTTATTCGTCATCGTTTTGCGTCACGGGTTGAAAATTGCAGGTATTGAACATATTCGTACCAGGGGGTCTACTCTTGATCTCCGTCTTGACATCCGTCTGAAACAATTTCTGCCAAATAAGCAATGCTTGACCAATGAAAAGACGCTTGATGCGAATGAAGCTTCATACTGGATAGTTGTCTTTTAATTTTGTCGAATATTTCTTATTTGGCAGTAATTGTTTCGGATGGATGTAGGATGGATATCGAGAGTAGACCCCCAGTTCCGAGTTGCACCATTCGTATCAGTAGAGTCCGAGAAAATGTCACAGAGATCATGTTATCTCTAGATGTGGTACCTGTGCAAGCGACATTCGAAATGGGGCCAAGATTTCTAGATTTGTATCGTCTCGGATTTGGAACATGAATACGAATCGGACGTAGTGCGCAAATGCTCTAACTGTCAAGTGACCAATATATGAACTATGTCCGGTGGCGCAGTCAAGGTGGGATCAGTAAGAAAACGAACTTTGCCATTGGAAAAACATATTGCTTAATTTGGATATTTTTGGTAACCTATACGGCGAATGTACTAACATACATATGACCTTTATTTTACCAATTATTATTCTCGAGAGTTCTGATTTACATTATTTTTATGTGAAGCGTTTTTTCAGCTCCTCCACTCGCGTCACCGTCTTCATACATGCCAGTACGTTCTTAGTACTTTTAACCTGATCTTTTTTAAGGGCATGCCCAATTTTTTCGAAATATTTGCGTCGAATTCTACCTCTCTCCACGTTTCTATTCATATTCGCTTTATGAACGTGTGCCGTCAATCAATTAACATCCATCCTATCTATATGATCAAATCATCGACGCATTCCCTTTTCTATTTTAAAAAATATATCCTCTCTATAGATACGAACATTATACAGTGTCAGTCTAGCAATGCAATATGGCGCAATATTGTGATCGAGTGGCCATAGATTTCAAAATGTCATGTCAGTCCTTGGAACCGTCTCGTTGCAGTGAAAATGGCAGCCAATAAATTGCAGCTGGGGCGTAAAGTGGCTGGAGATATTTTTAATTTTATATCAGCTTAGTTTATGAAGATCTAAAGGTATACTATGAAGTTAGCGTAGAAAACACTTAACTACTGTTTAATATAATTTAATTTTAAACATCATAACACCGTGAAACACGAACTTTGTTTCTGGGTTATTAATGTCCTTTTCTAATTGGTTCTAACTTAAAAACATAAAAAAAAACTTTATTTCCCTGCAAAAATTTTGCTTTTGTTGTCAGGACAACGAAAAGTTGAAAGTTGCGTTCCATTAAAGAAAAGTACAAATTTTTGGGTTTCTCTTTCTTTAAAGACAAAAAGAGAACATTATATACTTCAAATCATTATATACCTCTATAACTTGAGGACAAAGAACATCGAAATGTTGTCAATTCCCGTTAGTTCTGACTGAAAACCAGCGCCTTAAGGAACTTAGGCATATGCGGAGTCAGCGCCATTTCACTGCTATGACAAAAAATGTTTTATTTTGTATTTATGTTGTATTCAATCTGTTTTCGTGTCGTACTAGTGAATAAAGTGTTTATCTATCTATTTATCTAAAAATGGGATAAGCGACAATTGTGATCGTATTGAGTTATATATACCGTTGGAATCTGCTAATGTTTCTGAATCGAACGATATATATACATATAACTCAACATGACCCAAAAGTGTCGCTTATCCCTTTTCGCCTTTCAAGCGTCGGTATAATTTGCGAGACTATGTAAAAATACCGTGATAGCCACAAAGCAAAGTGTCAGGGGCATAGTTAATCGGTGCGCGAGGACGCGGCAGACGCGCACCCGCTTCGGCGCAGACGTACGGGGAGAAGGCGAAGGCAGTTCGCTGCTCGCCTGATCCCCTAGTGAGGCCAGCGGGCTCTGGACAGGGACTCCGGAGTCTGCATTGCACGGCCTCACTCGTCTGGGGGGCGGGTCAGAGGACAACCGACTCGCCCCTCCGTTAGCGCGGGAGCCCTGGCGTAAGCTAGGGCGGCCGGGCGGCGTCGTGGTGAATGTTCACTGATCCCACGGCCGCGGACTCAACCCGACGGGAGGGAAACCCGGGGGGGTTTTAGTGGGGTAGGCTCTCCAGTCTGGAGGGAGAGTCCCCATATAACTCCTGAATCTCCCTGGGCTCAGGGGCATCCATAAAGATTTCCCCCCCGTCAAAAAAAAAAAAGAAAAAAAAGGGGTATAGTTACTCTATTGTACGTAATTGCAGTTTAATTAAACATAAACCAATACTGTCAAATCAGGAACAGAACCCTTTTGAAAATTTGTTGCAGTCATAATTAGTGTAAATATATTAAATTTCCACATATACTTCACGCCCTATTACCGTTGGGGTACACAGAGACAACAATCTTCCCCTTTCTACGGTCCTGGTACACATTTTTCGCCTCATCAACACGAATCAGTGCTTTCATACACGCTTGTCGGTTAAAGGTACTCTTGGTTTGGCCATTATTTAGGATGTCCTCAATTGGTCGTGGTAAATTCGCCTTGATCGGTCCTAACCTTGACTTGCCCGCTCCACCAGGTTATAATGTCGTCTAAATGTAGTACATAAGTTCCATTAATAGTTGTGTTTTCTAATTGGATTTTTCATCAATATACAACCACATCTTCATTCCAATTTGCTTCGCAGATTTCCCAGGGTTGTAAACCTTTTTCAATATGCAGGTTTCATCACGACATTTTCCGTCATATTTAGCGACGGGTATTGTTATTATACTTTCATAAATATAAGTAATTTAGGAGTTAAAGTAATAGGTACATGTCACCAGAGGGATACGAACTGTCAACTTGTCAACTGATAAGCCATCGGTCTTCCACTATTTAAGTGGTTTGTTTTAGCATTAGACAGAAGGAAATTTTGGGTCCTTTTATCAGGCGTCATTTTATTCTAGCATTAAAATTAATCTACAGACTTGTGCTATAAAAAAACTGAAAGAAATAGAGGTTCCAAACATAAAACGTAAACTTTTTATAAAATAATAACATATAATATGGCGTCCTTTGTCATCAAATCTCACTATGTTGTAATTTTTTGTCTGAAGAAAAATGTTTACGATCACTGCTTCTTTGTTTACGTTTATTACTAATTTGTTAAACAGATAAATTCACTAAAGGTAAATATTTTTTCGATTTGTTTTGCTATCAACAAACATGGGTTTTACAGCTGAGTATATGGCGCCCCTGCGATAAGTGTGTTATGCTCCAATAAAGACTAAGTACCTATATATCCTACACTAACACCCCGAACGAAGACGGCAACCTAAAGCTTTGAGAACTTTTGATGTTTCATCGTTAAAGCGAGTTAGAAGTGATATTCGATAAGAGCAAATACTGAGAAGTTGGCAAGTAGATACTTACAGTTTGTGTTATCAGTTATAACCATAGTGATGTGCCTTACAAACACCCAATTACCTGATCTCAAACTAGTGTATTCCCTGTACTATGAGTACCAGAGAAACGGCATTCGTTTCAAAGCCA